GCATCCAAAACGTTTCCTAATAAATTCTCTATTCCAGGACAACTACACGGCTCTACACGTTGCAGTCCAATCGGGCAAGGCTTCAGTGGTGGAAACGTTGTTGGGCTCTGGAGCTGACATTCATGTAAGAGGAGGCGAGCTGGGGCAAACTGCCCTTCACATTGGTGAATTTTTTATTTTTTTGGAACTTTGAGATTCGATAGGCGTTCCCCGGAAATTTTGATTTTAGCCGCATCACTGAGTGGACCTGAGTCGCGTGAGTGTGCGATGATGCTTTTGAAGTCCGGCGGACAGCCTGACGTCGCCCAGGAGGATGGCGAGACCTGCTTGCATCTGGCAGCTCGCAACGGAAACAAGGACATAATGAAGTAGGCATTTTGTCCAAATACTTGTGAACTGGACAAAAAAGCTTTTGCAAAGGCTGTAGAACCTCAAAATTTCGGCTACGTACTTATAAGAACTGCCGCCTTGCTTCGGTGTTGAATAACCTGAAGATTCGTACAGGCTCCTGCTGAACGAGAACGCGAACCTGCACCTGATGTCGAATACCGGCGAGACGCCGCTGCACGTGGCCGCCAAGTCGTGTAACTACGAGGCTGCACAACTGATCGTCACCCATATGGCACAAACTCTTAGCCCTGAGGAAATTCGCAAATACATCAATAAGCGGACTAATGTGAGTTTGCATCCTATTCTTCATACTTCAGCTAATTTTGGGGGGTTTTATTTTGTTTCCATGATAAGAATAAATGTATAAATCGATATCGTATACTTATGACTAGTATCACAAATTATATCATGTATAAATGGTAAGAATCTTCACGTATTTGAAACCTTGGCTTTTGTTCAATTCAGTTGGCGATTCTTCTAGATGACCAGGTTTTCATAGAGATTTTCATAGAGAATTTTTTATTACTTTGACGACGTTTCGATTAATTCGTCGTCATTAGAGGCCCCAATTCCACCAGAATCCCTAGAGTCCGCTTCGGACCGGAAGAAATAGAAAGCCTTTTTTCAGGCCACAGCAGCGAAACTCTGGGAGTGGGGAATGAAACCAAAGACCTTTGAGACGACAGATGGTGTCCGAAACGGTCGACTCAGTGAACTTCGGAATTATTCTAATGAGGGAATGTGGGGAGGCGGACGTTATATCGCTTGGGGACGTAATTCATTTTTGACTGACCATGGTAGTCCCAAGGCAGGGTCAAAGTACGTACAATTTAACCGCGAAATGGTTCACTCACGCCGAGCTTTCCCTTCCTCTACAAGAAATGGATCTTCTATAGGCGGCAAGAACTGTCGCATCACATGTCCCCCTTACTGGATGAGACCAAAGTTTCACTATAAAAAACCTGTTCGGCTCAAAAGGATCGACAATAAAATGTTAGGGACAGGAAACCGTTGTTGCGGGTTGCTGTGACATGAGACGTTGTCTCCGTCAAGCTCACCCCAGGTCAAAATCCTGCCTATTTCAGAAGTGTATTCACGACAGGCAGCTTCGCGACTTGTCGAAAACAAGCTACTCTCGCAGAGACTGCCACATGCCAATTAGAAAGTGTACATCCTGAAGGTCCTGTTTCTTCAAAATAGATGCAAAAACGGGAGGTCTTAAGGCTGGGGACGATCGCTTATCATGAAGAGATATCCTAACCGAGATATACCCAGGCCGCTAGCGCCGCGGCGCGCCGCCCAGACTCTCGCCGTCTGACTCTGGCCGTTCAGCAGAGAGAGAGAGCGAGACCGTTTAGCGTATGGAAGCACGCACCGATGAAAATAGCATCAATGGACGCAAGTTACGACGGACAAGAGAGGTCATTATTCTTAGGTATTTTTGGGGCCAGCTTTCGATTGGTTTCTTCCACCTGAGACTACCTGGACTACCTCTAACTTTTTTTTAATGGGCTGACTTTCACCGTAACCTTCGCCATTTAAGGGCACCGAACTTTCGCTAATCCGTACTAAAACGATGGAGATGTTTTCCATGAAAAAATGATCCCAGGGCGTCCAGCCGGAGTGAAGCACGAAATTCATTAAGTCATTTTTTTCAGGATGGGTTTACAGCAGTTCATTACGCGGCAGAGATTACAACGGATCAGCTACATTTTCCTGGAGAAGATGCAAAATTGATGAATCTGCTGATTGATCACGGTGGACAGGTAAGAAGAACCAGAAAGTAGACTCTGTGAAGTTCATAGCTCAATCCAGCTTCTCTGCAGGTTGACCTGCAGTCGTTGAGCAGCAACGAGACAGCGATGCACATGGCCGCAAGGTCGGGAAATCAAGCCGTGTTGTTGGCGATGGTGAACAAAATCGGAGCCGGAACGGTGCAAATTGTGCAAAACAAACAGAGCAAGGTGGGTTTTGCCGGTCCATTAGATTCTTGCCGACATAACCGCATAATTTACAGAACGGTTGGTCGCCACTACTAGAAGCGTGCTCCAGAGGCCATACCGGTGTGGCGCAGATTTTGCTGCAACATCACGCTCGAATTGACGTCTTTGACGATAACGGACGAACTGCCCTCCATCTGGCTGCGCTCAACGGTCACCTGCAAATTGTGCATCTCCTCTTGCAACATAAAGCCTTCGTGAACAGGTCTGCTGGACAACAACTCGAATTCATTTTAGTAAATATAAACTTTACCCAATTCAACCTAGGGCTTCTCCGCAAAATACTTCAGTTTTCGACCAGGGTTAACCGTCCGTTGGCACCATTCCAACGAGGGGTTACATTTGCGATTTCGGAAAGGGTCGCATTATGGGGCTGAACAAGGTTAACCACCTCTGAGTACTGTGAAGAGGATTCGATGGGGTTTTCGACGAGTTGTGGTCAAAGGCGAATGATCACAGATGACCGTTGT